AATGGAATATTATTCAGCCTTAAGAAGGAAGGAGCCTGGTACAGTGGCCCACACCTCTAATCTCAGCTACTTGGGAGGCTGAGGTGGGAGGATAACTTGAGCCCAGTGAAAGTTTGAGGCTATCGTATGCTATGATGGCATATGTGAACAGCCACTGCATTCCAGCCTGCAACACAGTGAGACCCAGCTCTTTAAAAAGAATGAAGTACTGAAACATGATGTAAACATGGATGAAACTTGAAAACATACTAAGTAAAAGAAGCCAAAATGCAAAATACGTGGCACTAAGTAAACTGCAAAAGGGACACCTATTTATAGTATGAGGGCTCGAAGAAGGCAGTAAACCGCCTTGCTTGGCCTCACTTAGGAATATGCATGTTACCCAATAGTGACTCAAATGTTTCACTCTTCTGCATATGTTCATGAATGACTATAAAAGCACCATGAGTAGTACAGATTTTGGGGTTACAAATAAATTGTAGCAAGTAGGTAAATTTGCAAATGAAAAATCTGTGCATAATGAGCATCAACTGTACTTCTTTTTATCTCCGAATAATTCAGTCTAAAAACCATTAGGTGGGGCTAAGCAAGGTTAGCATGCATGTGATCTGGTAAGGAAAGGAAAGACTGGGTGCATTTAAGGGGATTGATCAACTAAGTAAATATTAATATATTAAGAATAACTGGAGCTCAGTTTCTCTGTCAGAGAAGAGAGATACAATTACAAAAAGGGAGAAAAATAAAATGAATTCTGAGGCTAGGTATGAGTGTGAACTCGTAGTACTACACACATACACAAAGCAAGAAATAAAGAAATGAGTGTATGTGTGTGGATGCCTGTTTGTGTACGTGTATACATGCATATATACTCTAGCTTTGCCTGCTGAGAAAGTCGAGAAGCAGTGACACCTCAGTGGAACAATCACATCTAGTGTCCAGACCTGACCTCTGAAAACATTTTCCAATAACGGGAACCAGAGTTCCTTGGTGAAACTGGATCCTTCTGCTATAAAGGATGTTTTGGGGACAACTAGAATAACTCAGATGGGACCTGAAGATAAGCTGGTAGTACTGTACTGCTGTTAAAGTCCAGATTTATTTTATTTTATTTTTGGAGACAGGGTCTCACTCTGCCACCGAGGCTGGAGTGCAGTGGCATGATCTCGGTTTACTGCAACCTCTGCCTCCTGGGTTCAAACAATTCTCATGCTTCAGTCAACCGAGTAGCTGGGACTATAGGAATGCACCACCACATTGGGCTCATTTTTTCGTATTTTTAGTAGAGACAGAAGTTCATCATGTTGGCCAGAGGAGTCTCAAACTCCTGACCTGAAATGATCCACCTGCCTCAGCCTCCTAAAGGATTACAGGTGTGAGCCACCTCGCCTGGCCAAACTCCAGATTATAAGGTTCATTAAAGTATTTGGGGCTGGTGGGGCTTGCTCTCTAATGGTTCAGGGAGCAAAAATACTCTATCCTTGCAATTTTTCTGTACATTTAAGTATTTTAAAATAAAGAACAAACTGCAAATACAACAAAAAAGTACACACCAATGTCCCAGTATTATAAAAATCTAATTCTTCCTTAGCAAAATTTCTGGGTAGTCAAAGTACCCCATTACCCCTCCTTACTTTTATTAGCTTTTCTAATAGTGTATCTCATTTTTTCCTTTTTTTTTTTTATTTTTTAAAGACAGAGTTTTACTCTTTGTTGCCCAGGCTGGAGTATAATGGAGTGATCTCAGCTCACCACCACCTCCGCCTCCCAGATTCAAGCAATTCTCCTACCTCAGCCTCCTGAGTAGCTGGGATTATAGGCATGCACCACCACGCCGAATTAATTCTGTATTTTTAGTAGAGACAGGGTTTCTCCATGTTGGTTAGGCTGGTCTCAAACTCCTGACCTCAGGTGATCCGCCCACCTCAGCCTCCCAAAGTACTGGGGTCATAGGTGTGAGCCACCATACCCAGCCCTCATTTTCACAGCATTCTGCAATAGAACTTTTGTGATGTTGGAAATGCTCTAAATATGTGCTGTTCAACACAGTAGCACACACGGCTAACAGCTATCATTTTGGACAGTGTTGGTCTAGAGAACAGCAGTTTGGTCATAAAAAATTAAAGAGTTTTTTCATAAAACATTAGTTTTGTTGTTGTTTTGAGACAGGGTCTCTCTGTCACTCAGGCTGGATGGAGTACAGTGGCGCAATCTCGGCTCACTTCAACCTCCACCTCCTGGGCTCAAGTGATCCTCCCACATCAGCCTAAAAAGTATCTGGGACTACAGGTGTGAGCCACAACACCCAGCTAATTTTTGTATTTTTTGTAGAGATGGGGTGAGCCACCATGCCTGGCCAAACATTAATCTTAATACTAACTAGATTTTAACACAAATTAAGTTACTCCCACTATTCTATACTTGCCAATGGACCAATGGTTCTGTATATTTTTTTGAATTTGTTTTTTTTTTGAGATAGGGTCTTACTCTGTCACCCAGGCTGGAGTGTAATGGTGTGATCTCAGCTCACTGTATCCTCAACCTCCCAAGCTCAAGTGATTCTGTCACCTTAGCCTCCTGAGTAGCAAGGACTACAGGTGTATGCCTCTACACCCAGCTAATTAATTTTTGTATTTTTTGTGGAAATTAGGGTTTCACCAGCTTGCCCAGGCTGGACTCAAACTCCTGGGCTCAAGTGATCTGCCCACCACGACCTCCCAAAGTGCTGGGATTATAGGCCTGAGTCCCCATGCCTGGACTTCTTTCTTTTTTTTTTTGAGACAGAGTCTGGCTGGAGTGCAGTGGCACAATCTCGGCTCACTGCAACCTCCAACTTCTGGGTTCAAGCAATTTTACTGCCTCAGCCTCCCGAGTAGCTGGGACTACAGGCACATGCCACCACACCCAGCTAATTTTTGTATTATTTTTAGTAGACACAGGGTTTCACCATGTTGGCCAGGATGGTCTTGATCTCCTGACCTCATGATCTGTCCACCTCAGCCTCCTAAGGTGCTGGGATTACAGGTGTGAGCCACCCCACTGGGCCCAGACTTCTCATTTCTTAATCAAATCTGAATACTTACCTATTAGAAGCATCCATCTATCTTTAGTTTGAAAGCAATTTTTTTTCACTGACTTCTGTTTTAGTATATGATTTCCACTGATTAATACCCATGTCTTCCCTACTTCTTTAAATATGCCTTCCTAAGATCTAGGGGGCATGTAAATATCTACCCTGCTTCCTTCCTAAAATGTAGGGGGCATGTACCCCCACTCTGCTCTAACATAGTTAGATCCCATAGTCACTTTCTTTCCTATTTATTATTTATATTTTACTTTATTCTCTCCCAAAGCTTCCACAGTGTACATAATTGGTGCTACAAGTTTATTTCCAGCCATGCTCAGCATAATATCCTCCTGATCAGATTATTTCAGGGCAAGCACATTATTCCTTTTCCACATGAAATAAACCGAATTATTATATAGATAATCATTCTAATATTTTAAGTCAAAAACTAGTTTAATGACATCATCTACATAGACTAGCAGAGAAGAATGACAATCATCGAAACTGGCATTTCAAATTCTACAATTCTTGGTTTGAATACAAAGGCAAAGAATTCTCATCCCTTGTCATTCACTTTAGTAACTTAAGTGAACATAGTAGCAGTGTGACTCACCTACCAGTTCTGTTACTGCTCATTCAGAACAAGAAAAAAATTGGTTTGGTTACAACAGGCTCCTAAAGTTAGCACCTATGCCAAACATCATTAGAAACACTTAACAAAACTAGGAAAATATGGAATCCTACCAAAAGCAAAACTTTTTTAAGGAAGAGTCTGACTTAAAAAATTTCTCCACCCCGGCCGGGCGCTGTGGCTCATGTGTGTAATCCTAGCAATTTGAGAGGCTGAGGCAGGTGGATAATAAGGTCAGAAGATAGAGACCATCGTGGCCAACATAGTGACACCCCGTCTCTACGAAAACTACAAAAATTAGCTGGGTGTGGTGGCCTATGCCTGTAATCCTAGCTACTCGGGAGGCTGAGCCAAGAGAATTGCTTGAACCCAGGAGGAGGAGGCTGCAGTGAGCCAAGATGACCCCACTGCACTCCAGCCTGGGTGACATGTAAAATGTAAAAATTATATAAAATTCAAACTTCTGCATCCATAAATAATAATGTAGCTACATTCACTCATTTACTTTTGTCTGTGGATGGCTTCAGACAACCTTTTGCGGTTTCTGTTTGTTTGGCTGGTTTTGTTTTATTGAGATATAGTCTCAATCTCATCTAGGCTGGAGCACAGTGGCACGATCTCAGTTCACTGCAACCCTCACCTCCCAGATTCAAGCAATTCTCCTGCCTCAGCCTCCAAAGTAGCTGGGATTACAGGCATGTGCCACCATGCCCAGCTAATTTTTGTATTTTTAGTAGAGATGGGGTTTCGCCATGTTGGCCAGACTGGTCTCAAACTTCTGACCTCAGGTGATCCACCCACCTCAAGTCTCCAAAAGTGAGAATTTTTTTTTTTTTAATGAAACAAGGCTGCCTTTTAATTGCAATCAGATATTCAGAAATGACGTCTGATGTCAGCAAGGCCCCTGTGCCCAACCAGAACCGTGCAGGGACAGAGCAACACCACCGTCTGGGTGTGCAGAAGGGCTGGGGCAGGATTGCTGCGCCTCTCAGCAGCCTCCTTGCTGCCACCGGCCTCTGAGCCATGCACCACCTCCTCTTTGGGTCAGCCCAGCCTCTGGTGCCCTCGGAAGTAAGGGAGGCAGGGCTGCAGAGGGGTGAGCAGGAGGCAGGGCCCCATTGCAAACACATGCAGACTTTCCCACTGTTTGGCTTCGTTTGTTCTCCTCCTTTGCTAAAATGATCAGATAGTCATGTGAAGCAGCTGCCAGCTAGGTGGACAGGGCAGCAGTGCCGGGATGCTGCCCGTTGGCTCCTCGGGATCCTGAGGCCCCGCCCTACTTCTTGTTTTTTTTTTGCGGGGGGGGGGGGTTGCTTCAAACTTTGAGAAAAACAGATAAACGTAACAAAAGAACACACAGGTGGGGGGGTGGGCATGGCCAGTGGCGACGGCACGGGTGGGCATCTGGGCTAAGGCTTTACTTGGCTGCAGACTGGTCGGATTTTGCAGCTTCTGGGTCCCCAAGCTGGGCCCGCGACTCGAAGGTGACAGGGATGGTGATCTCGTTGGACTGTGTGGCTGGCTTGGGCATGGGGGCCTCCACGGTCAGTATGCCCTCAGGAGACAGGGAGGAGGAGACCTGGGTGGGGTCCACATCAGGGGGCAGCGTGTATTTCCGGGTGAAACAGCTGGAGATGAATCCGTGCTCATCCTGCCGCTCCTCCTGCTTGCGGGTGATCTCCACCACGCCATCCTTGATCTTGACTGTCAGCTCCTCGAGGGTGAAGTGCTTGACGTCCAGGGACACGTGCCACGTGCCAACCTGCCGAAGCTGCCTGTGAACATGGTTCCATTTCCTGGGCTGCACTTCTTTATGCCTGGCTTTGCCTCACTGACCAGCCAGCAGTACTGGGCCCTGACTATGGCTGAGCTCACTCAGCAGCTATTTGATGCTAAGAATATGATGGCCACCCTGACATGGCCGCTGCCTAACCGTGGCTGCCATTTTCAGAGGTCACATGTCCATGAGGGAGGTGAATGAGCAAATGCTCAATATCCAGAACAAGAACAGCAGCTACTTTGCTGAGTGTCTCCCTCACAATGTGAAAAGAGCCGCCTGTGACTTCCCACCCCGGGGGCTAAAAATGTCGGCCACCTTCATCGGTAACAACACAGCCATCCAGGAACTCTTCAAATGCGATGCAGAACAGTTTACAGCTATGTTCAGGCGCAAGGCCTTCCTGCACTGGTACACGAGTGAGGGCGTGGATGAGATGGACTTCACCGAGGCCGAGAGCAACCTTAACAACCTGGTGTCAGAATATTAGTAATACCAAGACGCCACAGCTGAGGAGGAGGAGTTTGAGGAGTGTGCTAAGGAGGAGGTAGCCTAGAAGCTTCCTTTTCCAGGTAAAGGGAGAAGTAGTGTGGATTCTTTAGTGTATTCTGATAGCCACTGTTAACTTCTTTGTACTTCTTTGAGTCTTTACATCTCCTCCTGCTACGTTTTAAAGCATTTTTATAGTGTGTAGTCTGGCCTAATAAAGTATTTTTATGGCAAAAAAAAAAAAAAAAAAGCATAAGCCACTGCACCAGGCCTATTTTGTTTTGTTTTTTTGAGACAGGGTTTCACTCTGTCACTCAGGCTAGAGTGCAGTGGTGCAATCACAGCTAACTGCAACCTCGACCTCCTAGACTCAAGGGATCTTCCCTTTCAACTTTTTGAAGGTTACATTAAATAATGTACATTATGCAGTCTGATACAGTGCCTGCCACATAGTAACTACTTAATAATGGTACTTATATATTATTATTCTGATCCTTGTTGAACTGCTTTTTGATGTGTTCTGGTTATCTGTAATTGGTAACCAGCCACTGTACTGGCGGGCAGAGTAGATTGGCTACTTGTATATAGCTTCCTACTGCAGCTCAGTATACCACAAATCACAGTAAACAAAGTTATAAGTCAACAGCATATTTGGTGCCACACATGCGTATTGCCATATACTGTGTGTGACATTTTATTTTTTTATTAATTCATAACTGTCAGTTATCAGTAACTAAAAGTAGTCATTATTTTGACATAATATTGGTACAAGAGTATCGTTAGCTATTAATGCATAACTATCATGTCAAAACAAAAACAAATGCATTTTGAATGTCATATTTTTTATTTTTTTAAATTTTATATTTTTTAAAAACTAGAGATAGGGGTCTCACTATATTGCCGAGGCTGGTCTTGAACTCCTGGGTTCAAGCAATCCTCCCACCCTGGCTTCCCAAAGTGCTGGGATTACATGTATGAGCCACCACACCTGGCCTCAATGTCATGCTTTTAAGGCACAGTGGAGGGTATGGATTATTTTACCAAGACAAGACAGAAAACAACTTTGTTTCTTATGTAATGATTCTACAGTCATTCCCTGGTATCTGTGGACCAACTGTGGATACCAAACTCTATGCAGATTCAAGTCCGACCGTGGCCCAGAGGATATGAAAACTTCGCTGCTCTGTATGTGGGGGTTTCCTCAAATAACATATTTTTGATCCATGTTTGGTTGCAGATGTATAAACTGCTGACTGTATTTACTGAAAAAAACTTCATATAAGTGGACCTGTGTAGTGTGAAACCCTGTTGTTCAAGGAGTCAACTGTGTATCTGTGCTAAAAGAATTCAAAATACATCAATGTTACCAAATTAAGGACCGATCACAGTATTTCCGATTCACAGAAAGCAATGGTTTTAGAACAACTGAAAATTTAAAGTGGAATATTTCATTACAGCAAGGAGGAAAGGTAAGAAATAGAAAGTTTCTAAGGGAGGGAAGTTTCTAAGTAGCTAATTTGCTAGCAAAGCAAGAAAAGTAATGTTCTAGTGATAAGTTAATTAAATCAAGTTTGCAGCAGCTGAAGAAATGTATCCAGAGAAAATAAACTAAGAGTAGCCTTTCTTTTTTTTTTTTGAGATGGAGTTTTGCTGTTGTTACCCAGACTGGAGTGCAATGGAACGATCTCGGCTCACCGCAACCTCTGCCTCCCAGGTTCAAGCAATTCTCCTGCCTCAGCCTCCCGAGTAGCTGGGACTACAGGCAAGCACCACCATGCCCAGCTAATTTTTGTATTTTTTAGTAGAGACGGGGTTTCATCTTGTTGACCAGGATGGTCTCGATTTCTTGACCTCGTGATCCACCCGCCTCAGCCTCCCAAAGTGCTGGGATTATAGGCGTGAGCCACCGTGCCCAGCCAAAAAACATTTTTTTTAAATTTAATATAATTTAAAAACAAAAAAAAGAGTATTAGCCTTTCGACAAACCATTTGTTCTAAAAGTTTAAAATATTAATAAAATCAATAATCTGTTTAAAAAAAAACAAAGCAACTGAGGTTAAGTAGATTTCCATCTCTTTTGATGAGGTGATAGATGTGACAATACTGTTCAGATGTTGTTTATTCAAGGAATCAGTGCCAAGTTTAAAATGATTGAAGAATTAGCTTCTAAGAATAGTCTGTGTTGAACAACTACAGGTAAGAAGCTGAAAAAATACTAATACCTAAAGCGGAATCTCAGATAATGGTAAAAACATGTGTGAAGTAGAAAAAAGCTTAGTTAGGTAATTTACAAAACTTGTGAAGATATAAGGTGGTTATTAATGTTTTGTCATCAACAGGTATTCTATGAAAACCATCTGAATTTATCATGAATTATTAAACCAACCATGTTAATGGTGAACTTCATTCACTGTCATGGGCCTAATCATTGTCAGAAATAGAAGCTGAATAACCTGACTTGCATGGGCACACAGCAGTTTGATGGCTGAGCTGTAGCAAAGTTTTATCATGCTCTTTTTTTTTTTTTTCTTTTCAGCTTGGAGCTGAGATTGAAATTTTTCATAACAGTAAAACTGCTTTCAGACACTATGACCAAATAATAAACGGCTTTGATAATTAGCTTTTGCTGAAGATTTTATAATATTCAGTAAATTCAACTTAAAACTATTAGACAGAATAGCACTTATATATAAAACAAACTGTATTTATTTACACAACTAATTTTTGAATCATAAACAACGTTGAGCTGCTTTATATACTTTGCATGCTATCAAAAGTTAAAACAAGAAGTGAGATCTCCATTTCCAAACAAATTTGCAGTAGATATAGTTTCTTAGTCCAAACTACAGTTCCAGAATAATTTTTAGGACCTTAATGCAGCAAGGGAATTTCTATATTTAAAAATCTATTGAACAGTGCAATTGTGGAGCTTCTATCTAACCTTCCATTGGAAGTAATTAAGCAGCAATGTAATGATAACTAAAAGGCAAATGTTATAAGAAAAATCTAATTCTATAAATGCTTCCTGAGTGATTAATATGCTTAATTAAAATAATATGGTTATGGGCTGGTATCAATTATTTGACATGTCTGTGTGAAATGTCAAAGATGAAATATGCAAAATCGTATTACAGATCTGCATTAACAGATGAATACTTGCAATCTATTTGATGATTTTTTATTGATGATTATTTATTGAATAGGAAGCACTATTCAATAGTTCAGCACTCTGAACATCAATTAAGCAAAATGTTACCACTCCAGAAGGATCTCCACTCTTCTCATTAGTATACCTACATTTCAAAATATTGTTTACTATTTTGAATTTAATCAATAAGAAATTTTTCAAAATTTGTTTTCTCTCTTATTATATGAGAACCTACATATAACCCTTGATTCTACTTCAGCCTACAAAATCTAAAATATTTACTATCTGGTCCTTTATAGAAGGGTCAGATAATTACTTTTTTGGACAAAGATTTTCTTCAGGCTAAGCATATAAAAGCTTGTCCTCTATCTCTTTCTGGGATTGGACTCACAACATAAATAGGACTCAGGGCTGACTGGTTACATGAAAAAGTATAGTAAATCAGGTAACTTTTTTTTTCTTTCTTTTTTTTTTTTTTTTTCCTAAGACAGGGTTTCACCATGTTGGTCAGGCTGGTCTTGAACTCCTGACCTCAGGTGACCCACCTGCCTTGGCCTCCAAAGTGCTTGGATTATAGGAGTGAGCCACCATGTCCGGCCATAAATCAGGAAACTTTTTAAATGTAACTGAAATATTTTATTTTTACTTAAAACAAATATATATCAGCTGCCAATATTATGGCAGAAAACCAGCACCTCTTCTTTAAGTAGACTTCTGCTAATTAATGTTTCAGATGTTCTCGCCTGCATATCCATTACAGATATATCATATATATAATACACACTAGTGATATCAAATTTCAGTTTCTTTAAATGGAACAAGAATCTAGACAACTGTGAGACAAATGAGTACAGAACATTTGAAAAGAATTTTATAATTTCCACCCCTAATCTTTCAAAATATTCATGCTCACAATTAATAAGACAGTAATGGCTGGATGAGATGGCTCACACTTGTAATCACAGCACTTTGGGAGGCAGAGGCGGGCAGGAGTTCGAGATCAGCCTGTCCAATATAGTGCAACCCTGTTTCTACTTAAAAAATACAAAAATTAGCTGGGCGTGGTGGCACACACCTGTGTGTCCACCTCCTGTGTAGTCCCAGCTACTCAGGAGGCTGAGGCAGGAGTATCGCTTGAACCTGGAAGGCAGAGGTCGCAGTGAGCCGAGATCGTGCCACTGCACTCCAGCTTAAGCAACAGAGTGAGATTCTGTCTCAAAAACAACAACAAAAAAAGACAGGAATTTGGTGGAAAAGGGGATCTGTATTTATCCAACTTGTTCAATTCGTTCAAGATCTACAACTTAATTTTCCTAAAATTTATTTTTTGCAGTCATATTTCATTAGTTTATATAATGTTTAATTAATTATAAAATCACAGTAATAAATTTAACTGGCATAAACAGCTTTGGAACAAACATACTGACCCCTGGAAATTTAAAATTCAACTAGTGAAAGCAGAAAGCAAGATGTACTAGACAACAGCCAACCACCCATGAGTGTTCAGCTTTTCTTAGGAAACATTCAGTAT